CAAAACATGGACTGCTCAGAAGGAAATGAGCTTTGCTTCACCTTATATCCCTAGGGAACAGAAGGCAAGGAAGAATTAGTTAAGAAATTAATTTCTTTCCCTCTCTCTTCAATCCCCGTCTCCAGAGAGGGTTGAAAAATGTGTTTGTGACCCTGAGCCAAACAAAGGGCTTCAGGAGCCTGTGGGGTCAGCAGCGTTAATATGGCCATACCTCACTCCCTGTTCGTGCTCACATGTGTGGAAGGACGCTGCAAAAATCTTCATCACTCTAAGATGGAGCAGAAATGTGCCCCTGTGTGTTCATGTGTGTCTCACACCTGATTATCCATTTGCCTTTTGGCTCTAAGGGCTGTCTCATGGTCACCAGGAGAGCCAGGACTTCAGGTCCATCCCTGGGGATGCCCCTCAGTCACTGTAGGAAGGCCTGACCTGAGCTGAAAGCAGTATTTTTTTCAGCTCCTGCATTTGTTAATGGCTAATGTTTCCTTCTGAGATTCACGTCCAGCTGATGGCTGTGAGAATAACAGAAATTCTGTAGCTTTCCCCAGTTCCCTCCAGGTCTCCAGTTTTCACCCAGATTTTGTACCAAAAATGAAAGTGAAGTATCTTCAGATTTTTGTTAGAAAACAGAGATTTAGGGAAAGAAATATTGTCTTCCTTTCCCTATGTCTCAGGTACAGATCTCACTTTGTGAGAAGAGGCAAAATATAAAATTCCATTCTCTTGTTCAGGCAAAGTGGTAGATGATTCACTAGTGGCAATTAAAGGATTCGGCATGGGTGGGAATTTGTAGGAATATCTTACAAAGGTTGTTTTCAGCCCTTGAATAAACTCAGTTTATTTTACTAAATACAAAAAGCTTCCTTTTGGGGGGAAACCAAGCAAGGATGCCCTGAACCTGTTACTAGGAGGGAGAAAATCCTTCTTTAGCACTGGTGAAGGTCCCAGGGCTGGGTCTGAACAGAGTAGTAGGAATCTTTCCTTGCAGTCCTGTACCTTACTAGTATCTTACATTTTCAGTCCAACCATTTCTCTCCTCTCCCATATTCTCACTGGCAATTTTTGTTACTCAGAAACAAATGGAAATTCCCAGGAATCTCAGTAGCTACAAGTGGGTTTGGAGTTTTCTCTTTAAAGGATACTGCTAATTTGGTTTGGGGTGTGACTCTTTCGTCCAAAACAGTATTAAGTTTTCTTGGCTGCCGGTGATAACGAGCCGACAGTGGCATGGAAACACCAGGACAAGAATAGAAAAGCAAGGCAGGGCCTTGCAGCTCCTCGGGGCATGTGGCATCCCTGCAATGCCCCCACGTAAAGAGCATGGCATGGCAAAGAAATGCTGAGAGATGCACGGCAGAGCCCTGATCCCTGATCCCAGCTGGGCCCTGCATCCCAGGCAGGATGTGAGGCTGGGGATGCTCACCGGGCTCTGCCTGCACACGCATTCCCAAGGTATCTTTCCAGAGGGGTGACAGAGGGCTTCCCTTAAAAGGGCTGGTATTTGTGGCATGCCAAGGAGCCCTCTCCCCAGGCTGAGGCTATTCCAGTGGGGAGCTGGGTGTTGCTGGGGGTTTTAGAGGGAGGGAAGCTGCTATCGTGAATGGTCATCCTGAACTCCGGGCTGCGAGGGCTGAAATGATGCAGTGCAGGAGGGAAAAGATCCTGGGAGAGGGGTTAGGGATAAAAGTGGTGCTGATGGTGGGATAGGGGAGATGGAGAAACAGGGGAATGGATGTCAAGCAGGGGTGTTTATCGCCATTCCAGTGAAAAACCCCTCTGTGAATAGCAAAAAAGAGTCGCTGGAGGATACGAGAATGGTGCTGGCTGGGCGCGATCCACGATGTGTCAGGGGGCAGTGCTGGACACTGCCAGTGACACACAGCCAGGGACAGTCACTAAACATCCACTCGGCCTTTATTAACCCTTTATAAACCGAGCAGAGGGACACAGAGAACGAGGCAATGCCCAGGGCACAGTCGGGGCTGCACCCACCTCCTCCAGACCCTTGGTACCCAAACCGTGGGGTGATGGGGGATGGGATGATGAGGTGATGGGGTGATTGATGGGGTGATGAGGTGATGGGATGATTGATGGGGTGATTGATGGGGTGATGGGGTGATGCTGGAACCCTTCTTAAGGACAGACAAGCCTGCAGCAGCCAGCCCACACAGGAAAGGCCATGTCCCCAAACAGCAATGCCACTCGCAGCTGTCTCTCAGCAGAGCTTCTTGGCATTTTTTTGGTGCCCAGAATAGAGTCCTCCACATTCCTGGATTTTTGCAAAGCCCAGAAATAGCCCTGAGCTGTCTTGGGGCAGATACTCAGTTCTGCCTGAGGCTAAATTTTCCCAACTCTTCTCAGAAGCTCTTTAAATTACCTGGGTGGTCCTGATGCTGCTCCTGCAAAGGACATTCCAGCTGACACCAAAGAGCCAAAAACATTTGCAGAAGTGACCAAAGACCATGAACCTTCAGTTTGGAGGTGCTGGAAACTGCAGAGAAATCTGATTTTGAAAATCAAGGGCAGGAAACAAGACACGGGTTTTTTTTCTTTCACCACCTCCCACCCTCTCAGATTTGCAAATGCAACTTTATACATGTGCAAAACATTAATTATTTTACTATAATTAGTGGAAAAATCCTAATGCATGAAATGATCATTTAAATCTTATTTCCTTTTCAACACAGCTGGCCTTTAGTTACATTATTTTATTTTGCTTCTTTGTCTAGCACCTTCCTCTGTTTCTAGTGCTTTTCTTTTCAGCCCATTTCCCACCTCAGAAATCACCTATTAACTCTGTGTACCAGAGCCTGTCTAATCATTGCAGGAAAAGGCTTGCAGACAGGGCAAAATCTCTCTTAAACCATTTCAAAAGGGAATTATTTCTATTTATTTGATATGTGTTAGTCATTACATTTATGTTCTATATTAGCAGGCCTCCCCACCTCCAAATCAGGGATCTATTGTATGTGATGCTGGACAAATTTATTTGAAAAGACAGGGTATATTAATGAAAGTTTGGAATCAGGGAAAAAAAAGCCTTGTTAAATTGTATGATTTTCATTAATCATCCAACTGTAATCAGTGCTGTTCTTATATCTGAGTTGGTAGGTGAGCATGAGAAATTCTCAGTACTGACTTTTAAAGGTGGATTCCTAGCCCATATTGTTATAACAGGTACTCTTGGACCAAAACAGTAAAAAACCACATGAATTCTATGAATTGCCACTCTGGCACATAATGGGCCAGTCCATGGTAGAAAGAAAAAGCTTGAATTTCAAACACTCACAGTCCTTTGTAGGACTGAAAATGAGAGAATGTACTGTGGTTTGAAAAGAGAACAAAGTGTGATCTGGGCATCAGGAGGGAGCACCCGTGAGGGTGAGCAGAGTGTTTTAGAGCATGACTGCTCCTCAGTCTTTGCTAGATTCTAAAATCCCATCGATGCTCCCTGCTCCATCTCTGTCCCACCTTTTTTCCCCCTTCCTTCCGAAAAAAACAAATGGTATTTTAACATTCTCTAAAGCCTCATGAGTGGGTCATGAGGGCAATGAGGAACAGATAGAGATTCTCTCCTGCCCAAATCCTCCCTGTCCCAGGACGACCCTTCCCTGCCCACCCATTACTGAAGCATCCCAAAACCACTCACCTTTTCAGCAGCCTCCAAACTGGGGCAGCAGGGAGCCTGCCCTGCTTCCCACACCTCCCTCAGAATGTGTTCCCTTCTGGCAGAGCTTCCCTGTGGACCAGGGCCTCTGGCAGAGGGGTTAGGGCAGAGATTTAAACTTTCCCCGTTGACTGAGCACCCCAAATGGGCTGCCTGGCTCCTGGATTAAGCAGCAGCACTGGTTTCCCAGCCAGCTTTTATGGGTGCTCACCCATCCATGCAAATTCCCCCAGCCCAGCCGTGGAGCTGTGCCTGTATTTAGGAGTCACTTTTGTCAGGGAACTGATTCTCTGGGGAGAAGAACTGGGAGGAGGATGGGACAGATGTGATTCTGCACATGCAGCTGCCACATCCAAGGGCACAGACACTTAGAAATGGGGTCCCCATCTGCAGGGATGTGCTTCCAGCTTTGGGACAGGTCAGTGAGATGCTAATGGTTTCACTGGGGTGACCAGCAGAGACAAGCAGGTGGTAGTGGGGACATGTCCAGTCACACAGGGGTGTCACACACTCATGGGTCAGGAGGCTGAGCTGGTAGTGACCGTCTGATGGGGGTAACCCATGGCTGATCCCAGGGGATCCCCAAATTCCCAAAGACAACCAGTCCAGAGGGCCACAAAGCAGCATTTCCTTGTCAGTTCTCCTCTATCCCCTCGGAATAGACAGTTGCTTTCACAATCTGAAGAAATCACTTGTTTTCCTGCCCTGACTTCCGTGGTGCTAAGGAGCTCCAGGACAGGAGTCTCTGCTCCTACTGGCCTCTGAGAACTGGGTTTGGGTCCTGCACCATGGGATGTACCAAATATCTCATGGTACTGGAGCTGTGGCATTGCCAAGGCATGAGACCACAACACATCTGTGCACCATGGCACAGGCCAGGCCCAGAGCCAGCATGGAAACCCAAAATTTCCTGCAGAGCAGCAGACACCGAGCAGGGGATGGAGGATGCCGGATTTGGGAGGAGGTGCTCTCTGCAGCACTACTCCATCAGTGAGCAATGGAAAGGCACAGGACCCTGGCAGGTCTTGCCCCAGGGGGCTATCCCTTTCCTCTGGCTCCTGCAAGCCCTGTGCAAGCCCCCAGCCCATCTCATCCCAGCCCATCCCATCCCATCCCAGCCCATCTCATCCCAGCCCAGCCCAGCCCATCCCTGCCCCGTTACACAACCCCCAGCTCCCAGGGCGACACAAAGGGCTTTGCTTAGCAGCTGTGTTTGCTCAGGGCGGCTGATTTTGGGAGCACAGCTGATGACATGTGGTTGGCCAGGCGACCCGGGACACTGGTGCTGAGCTTGCAGCTTCCTTTTTTAATAGGTGACTCAGGCACTCGGTAGCTCACTGGGGTTGGTGGTGGGAGCCGGGCTGTGAAGGAGTGCCAGCAGCAGAGGTGGTGGACACCAACAGGTGGGTAGAATTGTTTGTTCATAGGATAAAGTGGTTTAAATAGAAAGTAGAGTGAGACAGAGCTGCCCTGTTACTGGTGAGATGGGGTTTTCTCAGGGGAGGGAGGGAGAGGGCAGAGGTTTTGTTGGTGATTTGTTTTCCACTTGTTAGGAGCTGGCTGCCAGGTGTAAGATGATTCTTGTTCAAGAGACATGCAACATTATCTCCAGCAGGAGACAGAGCAGTTGAGTGATTTATGGGCAATAATTCGAGAGGAAGTGAGTGAACTTTTAGATGAATATTTGAGAGTCTTTTCCCCCTGTTGCCTTGCCTTCTCCCCCTGTGTTTAGAAAGATCAGTAAGTACAAACGAATACAAGGAATTATTTTCCCTTGTTGCAAGTTTCTATGTCTCACAGCCCTCCCTGCCTGCCTGGGCTGTGACTTAAGGGGCAGAGAAGCTGTAAACCAAGCCCGACCTACAAATACGTGGGGCATGGGAAGAGCTCAAAAAGCCCGACAGCTGCTCCTTATGGACAGTCCAAACATTGCAACCCCTCACACAAAATGTGCAGATTCATCCGGCGCCAGACACTGGCACGAAGGACATTTTGCCGACAAACGCCAGCAGGGAGGAGCATTCCCTGCATCCTTCATTTGGACAGCAGCGCCGCCGGCCGCGGTGCCAGCCGCTGGCTGGGACGGCAGGAGGGGGGTTTCAGGAGATCTTTTCCTCCTATTTTAGCTCAGAGGAGATGTTTTAATGCCTGAAGTATCGTGTTTAACCGCGCTGGGGCCGCAGTCGCGCAGTCAATCAGCGCGGCGCGCATCACTCGGCGCGCCAGCGGAGCCCTTCTGCTCAGCGGGGCAGAAACGTGGAGCCCGGCACAGGTTTCAGGCTGGGCTTCCACCTCACACACAGCAAATATCACCCTGAGCCTGGTGTGTATATCGACCTTTAGCTGGGCTTCAGCATCTCCAGCTGGGAGCTCCGCGCTCCCTCCCAGGGGATGCTGCGAAGCCGCGCCTTGCTCCCAGCTCCTGAGATGTCCTCGGATGTCGCTATCCGCTCACACGCCACAGCTCAGCCTTCTCGTCAGCGGAACGAGCTGTAGTTCGTCGGCTCTTAGCTATAATTAGCGGTTTCGAGGGAGGCAGCAGCTTGTTTCGTCAGGCACAGACCAGATTTTGTGCGAGCGCAGAGCCGGCACAGAGGGTTGGAGCAGCCCTTCTCCAAGGCAGGAGGCTTTGTGAGAAGGGATAAGCAAGCACAGGGCTGTGCACAGCCAAAAAAATAGTCAGAAATGAGAAGAGAAAAAGAAAAAAAAGAAAAAAAAGGAAAACAAAGGCAGCGATAAGGGGGATGCCTTCAACAAAAGCTTTGTATCTAATTATATCTGCCATTAAAACAAGCCCTGTGGCCTTCCAGTCATCCAAGCTAAAGGGTGAAGGAACGGGCAACACTGACACTGTGCTATTTCCCACTGCCTGAACTGGAAATCTCCCTTCAGCTGCACTATTTGCTCATGGCTGGAGGGGCATGTTGCTTTTCTTTGTGCAGTATGTGAACCCACAGGCCTACAGATCAGTACAAATTATATCATCTCAGCAGCGATGCCCATAGCCTGGGGTGGGAGGAGACATTTGAACATCACCAGCCCAGCTCATGGACACAGGGATGCTTTTGCTAAGCACTTCTCACCAAAATGGGACTTGAGTCAGCCTAGGCAGGGTCCCTGCCTTGCCTTGAGGGGCTCCCATCTCCTAGATATGGTTTTCAAGACAGCCAAGGGTTGGTGTTCATTTTCCCAGCCAGAAAGGCTGAAAATGTGTGCTTGGTTTCCTTTCTACCTTTCTAGCAAGGCTCACTGTGCCCAATTCTCCCCATTGCTCTTACTGGGAGACTTAGCCAAATCTCATTACCATGCAAAGAAGAAACTTGCTGTTTGCCAGAATGACTTTTTGCCTTTCCAGCAGGCAATTCAGCAATGTAGGACAAAAGAAAGGCATTCCCAGACAAGATTTTTCAAATTCCTCAAAAGGGAATTTTTTCAGATTCCCTAGAGGTTTCTGTAGGTAGATCAGCACATGCTGCAAGGACCCTCCTGATACCCCTAGAGCAAAGGGGAATAGTTTTAAACTGAAAAAGGAGAGATTGAGATTAGATATCAGAAAAAAATTTCTTGCTGTGAGAGTAGTGAGAGTGGTAATGCCCAAAGAATTTATGGATGTCCCATTCCTAGAAGTGTTCAAGGCCATGTTGGACAGGGCTCAGAGCAACCTGATTTATTGAGTGGCATACCTGCCCATGGCAGAGGGGTTGGGATGAGATGTTCTCCTAAGTTCTTTCCAACACAAACCATTCTATGTTTTCCTAGATGCTGTTCATCTCAAAAATCCAGGATCTAGTAAAAGTTCAGGGTGTCTTGAGCAGAGTGGGGGGAAATTATGCAACCAGAGGGTAGTTGCAACCTCACAGTCTATCTCAGGATGCACCAGGTCTGCCCCAGCCTTGCCACTCTCTGCAGTGGCTGTAGACAGATAATTCCCTTTGACTCAGTGTTTAAGCTGTGGACAGCAGAATTCAGGGAGAGAGGTGCCATATTTAGATGGAGATATAGCAAAATAAAAAAGGAAATACCTTCTGTTTCCTCCTCTGGTGTCCTAGTGACCTCCAGCAGAACTAGGCAGCTAAATCTGTATTGCATCCCACTGCTTCCCCATGTATCCAGCCTTGGTTCTGCATCAAAACGCCTGCACACCTACAGAAGCAGCTGGAATAAAGGACAACAGAAATCTTGAGGTTTGGCACCTTCCAGCAGCACAACTGGCAGGGTCTGACAATTCACTGAGGTTCCTTTGCTCTTATCATCATGGCTTTTTGGTGCATGTTTGTGCCTATAGGAACTGGTATTTCATTTGAAGCACATTTTTAGTGCATGGAGTTGCTTCTTGTCAATTTAAAATAAACCCAGAGTAAGTTTCTTACAGTATTTTAGAGAAAAATTTGAAAATCTGAACTTAACATGCAGAACACAAAGAAGAGTTATTACATTTGTTGTTTTCTAATTCTCGTGATTTGGGGGCTGAGGTTTGAGGGCAAAGAATGCTGGAATGGCTGCAGTGCTTCTACTGTGCACGTATTAAAAAGTACATCAGCCCTTTCCTGGCTGTGCAATAGCTGGATTTGTGGAGAGGGAGCCCATTGTTCAAACCAAAAGCATTGCAAATACCTCACTAAATCCGAATGCAGCAGCACAAGCCCTGCAGAGAACAGGAGAACCTTCTCGTGTTTTTACAGTGGGAACAGTGAAATTACAGCCCTGACTGACCTGGAGGGCTGAGATGCACCCTATAGGTGTAAAGCTCTATATATTGTCTATGTCTGTGTGATGGGAGGTGGAGATAACCATCCTCACACCTGGCAGATTAGTGCAAAAAGAAAGTTCTTGGCTATATTTTGGAGTTGCTTCTTTCTTTGAAAACTGAAGCTCCAGCGGGGAACTGGTGCAACTCAAAATATCAGATCTCTAAATTCAGAGCAGGGTTTGAAGGCTCTACCAAGGGCTCCCTGCTACATCCAGTGGCAAGTCTCACCCTTTTCATGTCTCCTGAGATGAGCTCCCGGGGGAGAGGCAAAGATAAGTGGATATAACTGCTTGTGAGGCACATCCATAAGAGAGTGGTGTGGACACAAAGAAAAAAAAGTAGGAATTGGCTCAAGTTGGATATGTGTAGCTCCTCCATGTACTCTGACTCTCTCGTGTTTGCTGATGACCTTACCGAGGAAGCAGGAATGGGGCCAAAGCATCACTCTCATCCAGGCTCCACCTCAGCCACAAAGGAGATGGGAATACCCATGTTTTTTCCCTGAACTGGGTGAGTGTGATGTTCTGGGGACCAACTCAGTGTGCCAGAGTCAGGAAAGTGATGCTGTCCTGCCCTCCTGTCTGTGGCTCGTGGCTCACCACACACGTCTGTCCCCGTTGCAGATGACAGGACACGGTCATTTTTAGACCCATCAGGCAGCACCAGCCACACACTCCAGCAAGGACGAGGGAGATCCTCCGTGAAGGAGCTGTCGGCTCTGTACCTCTCGCAGACAGCTGCTGCTGCTGCCGCCGGCCCCGCACAGCCGGTAAGCACCGCACCCTCCCCAGGGCATCCCAGCAATGTCCCTCCAGCAAGTGCCTGTGACAGGCTGGGACACAACGAGCCTGCCTTTGTAAATCTCAACAAACAACGTTTGGTTTCCCTAAAATGATCATTTTCCCACTTGCAAATGTAGGATAGATATGTATAAAGCCTTGCATGTATCACATTAAATTCACACATGCACGCACACATCAAGCACACACACACACCCCTACATCCACTAGCCCATACAGTTCACTCATAATAAGATTTTCTCTTTATTTGCACATTTATATTCACATGCATCCATGGAGAAAATAATTAGTACAGAACAACACATCTGTCTCCATGTTATCCCCATTCTGACATACACACACACACACACACACACACACACATATATATATGTCCATATATGCCACATTCAAGCATAACTTTGCAGTGCAACCTCCCTGTGCTTCTCTGTTTATATCCCTTATTCTGGGATCCAGGGTTTTAATTCCTCACTCCAGGCTGATCATGGATAATACAGGATAATACAGGTTATAAGGGTTATGAGGCATATTTTTCCCATTTCTCCAGTTCCACCAGTGATCCAGGAGTGACATGGGATGGGATTTCATATCTGGACCCTTCCTGCAGGCACGTTCATGTTTCCCCACACTCTCAGCATTTTATGGGGCCCCTTTTCAGAGATGCAGTCTCTTGAGTGTTTATCAGAGAGAGGTCCAGATGAAGTGGTCTCAGTTGAAAATAATAAGTGGAGACTGCATTTGGAAAACTACAGCTGGTTAGAAAAGAAATTTTTTTTAAATTGCAAAGCAATAAATTGCACAATTCATAATTCAATTACAAATGTTGATCAGTTTCATTTATAAAAATATTGAAGTATAAAGAAAAATATAGGTTAAATCAAACTTTGGAGAAATCAATGCTAGTTTTGTTTCCCCCCTAACTTTAAAAAAATATGTTTGGGGTTTTGATTGTTGACTGAGACATTAGGAAACATATATCTGATCAACCTGGAATAAGACCTCTTTCTCAACTCTACAGAACTGCCAATGAACCAAAAGAGAAAATCACACCTGCATGATTTTCAGTTCTTTGTAATTGATATACACATTAGTACACATAAGTATATAAAAATATATATACAGATAACATGTCTTGCTGTGTAGTTTAATGGCATTTCTCCTCATATCTTTTCCAGAGTACTGTGAAGGACAACTCCATTCACTCTCCCCACAGACAGAAAAAAAGCAAGGTAGGAAATGTTTAAGATAAGCCCTGTTATCTAACCAAGTATTTGTGGCCTGTGAGTGTGATCTAAATACCCACACAAGGCAGCCAGGAGCACTTACAGACTGAATATAGCTATCAGCTGCTCGGCTGCCCTTCCCCACATTCAGAAGTTCTTCACAGATTAAAAAAAAAAAAAAAATCAAAAAATAAACCCTTTATTTTAAAAAGTGCATTCCAAATATGTTGGCTCATGTGAAAGATTTGTATTTTTCACTCGCTGCAAAATATGCTGATTTTGGTGTTCTGAGTGTGGGTTTCTTTTACTAATGTTCAAAACTTATTTTTAGCCAGAACAATCTGTGTGTAACAGAGTGAAATAACACCGTGCACCATTGCTTTGAGCAACAACTAATAATATTCCGGGCATAACTCTGCAGACGTAACTGCACAGGCATGCCAAGGGTCAGCAGATCTGTTTACTGAAAGGAAAGCCACCAGGATTACAGTCTCTTTAGACAACGATTAAAGGCTTCAGATACCTTCCCTGAGGATAAATGCCCAGGCAGTGCAGGTTGCAGGTATTCAGTTCAGTGTCTGGTGCCCGGGATGCGCAAACCGAGGGCAAAAATTTCAGAAATGGAGGCTCAGAGGGAGACTGGACAACCACAGCTCACACTGTTCACTTCTCTACCAGCACTGCTGTGAATGTGAGATGAGCTCAGTCTGACTGAGTATAAACAAATCTAACTTTCCTGGTCTCCAGCTGTAGGTGTTACCCCATCCTCTGCTCCCCCAGCCTTGGTTTTCCTCCTCAGGCTGCACAGATCATCAGGCCTGCTGATTCCAGCAGTTTGCAAACCTTAGTTAGCCTCCTGCCTGTACAAGTCTTTAAGTCAGAATAGCCTTATTTAAGTCTCCAACTGTGTAAATGTTCATCTGTTCTTGTGCAAATGGTGACAGGTGGCACACTTCTGGGTGCAACAGAAGAAACCATTAATCAGATGAACATCCTTCCCCAAGCCCTCTCTCCTGAGCAGGGAGTGGGCACCCCATAGTTCTACCAAAAGCTCATCATGTTACCTCACCAGCCAACCTCACCAGCTCAGTTTGACACTTTGGTTCCTTCTCCCCATTTTCTTCTCAAGACCTCTTCATAAATAGTTCCTTGGCTTTCTCCTGCACCCAGATCTTTTGTTCCCAGACTCTCTGCAGGTCCTCAGCCCGGGACACAACAGTTCTGGACAGCAGGAGGGAGAAGTTAACTTTTCACTGACTTTTCTAAGTCAGCCTAATCCTTCTTGTGGTCACTCTCTCTTGGTCACATAGTTCAAATCGGGCACCTCTGTTGTGCTCTAGCTGGACTGAATCCTGGGAATTGTAGACTAACCACCTCATCTGGATTAGAGACCTCGCTTTGCTGTGGAACCAGGGCTAACACCAAGCCTGGAGCGTGTGCAGTGATGTGATGTTTTGGAGTGCTGTGTGCTACTGAACCAAAGGTATGGAGCTTACTGAATGCATGGATTTCCCCTGTTGGCTTTTCCCTTTGCCATTCACTCCATTAACAGCCACGGGGATGGGGGGTGAGAGGTGATGCTGACGTTTAAAACTGTTTCCCCAAAGATGTCAGAAGCCCAGAAATCATCTAAAGTTGCCATCAAGAAAATGGAAGATGACTTGCCTCCCCCTCCAGCCGTTGGCTCAGTCCAGGTCGTTGCTCCAGGGGGTCAGGATCTCAATGCACTCCCTGTGCCTCCTCCAAAGCAAGCCTTCTCCAAGTTCTACCAGCAGCGCCAGGTGAACGAGCTGAAGAGGCTCTACAGGCACATGCACCCCGAGCTCAGGAAGAACCTGGAAGAAGCTGTGACTGAGGACCTGGCAGAAATGCTTAACACCGAGGATCCCAATGCACAGGCCTCCGTGAACCTGGATAAAGTTCTCCCAGGAGAAGTTCAGTCCATGCGCTGGATTTTTGAGAACTGGGCTCTTGACTCCATTGGGGACCATCAAGCCACGAAGAAGCTGACAGAAGAAGAGATCATTCCCAGTGGGGATGTGAAAAGCACTTCCCTGAGGTTTGAAAGCCAGTCCATAAATGGATACAACCTGTCAACACCAGCCAAGGTGTCGGAAACAGACTTTGCCAGAGGGGATGTTCGCACTGCCCGGTGGCTCTTTGAAACCCAGCCACTGGACACATTAAATAAACTGTATTCTGATGAAACTGAGGTGCAGGAGGCAGTTCTCAAGGAGCCTGTCCAGGGAGGTGATGTTAAAGGGGCCAAACAACTCTTTGAAGCACAGTCCTTGGACGCCATAGGACGCTGCTCCTCAGTGGAGGAGAAGAGCATCCTACAACTCAAGTCAGAAATCCAAGAGCTTAAAGGTGATGTTAAGAAGACTGTCAGGCTCTTCCAAACAGAGCCCCTCTGTGCCATCAGAGACAAAAGTGGGACTATCCATGAAATCAAGTCTGTCTGCCGAGAAGAAATTCAGAGCAATGCAGTCAGGACGGCTCGCTGGCTCTTTGAGACTCAGCCCCTGGATACCATCAACAAAGACACTTCCAAAGTGCAGATAATCCGTGGGATCTCCCTGGAAGAAATTGGACGGCCGGATGTCAGTGGCGCGAGGTGGATATTTGAAACTCAGCCCCTGGATGCCATCAGAGAAATCACAGTTGAAGAACAGGACTTCAAGGCTTCAACAGATTTTGTCACAGGGGCAGATGTCACTAAACAACGATTGCTCTTCGAGACCCAGACTCTGGACTCCCTGAAAGGAGAAGCTTCAGAAAATGCTGTAGCCAAAGAAAAAGTCATTGGAGGTGATGTGAAATCTACACTCTGGCTCTTCGAAACACAGCCAATGGAAACCCTGAAAGACAATTTTGAGGTGGGACGTTTGACGAAAGTAGAGCTCTCAGCAGAGGAGAAGGGAGATGTGAAGCAAAGAAAACACGTCTTTGAGACCTGTCCCCTTGGCAGTATCTCCAAGGCGTTTGAGGAAGAAATTCCAGCCACCACCATGGAAGAGGTTGTGAAAGGGGATGTGAAATCTTTCAAGACCTTGTTTGAGACTCTCCCCTTAGACAGCATTAAGCAGGCTGATGCTGAGCCCCCCACCAAAGAAGAGGAGGAGAAAATTCCAGCTGGCAACGTCAAAGCCAACCAAATCCTGTTTGAGACAACACCCCTGTATGCCATCAAGGATAGCTTTGGCAATTTCCACGAAGTTACCTCTGTAAGCAGAGAGCAGATCATCAGCGGTGATGTCAAGAACTACAAGTGGATGTTTGAAACCAGGCCCCTGGACCAGTTTGATGAAAGCATCAAGAAAGTGGACATAATACGGGGGATCACAAAACAAGAGGTGGTGGCTGGTGATGTCAGGACAGCCAAGTGGCTCTTTGAAACGCAGCCCATGGATGTCATTCATCTCCAAGGCACAGAAGGGGAGAAGCATCCCTCAGTGAAGAGGGAGATCTCTCAGAAGGGGGATGTGAAGACCTGCCGGTGGCTGTTTGAGACCCAGCCCATGCACACCCTGTACGAGAAGGCTGAGAAGAAGCAGGAGGAGGATGGCAGCGTGCCCCAAGCTGATGTGAAATCTTACACATGGATGTTTGAGACTCAGCCCCTGGACTCCCTGAAAGGCCAGGAGGAGCAGTATTTGCAAGTCAGTAAGGCTTACAGTCAGGAGGAATTACAGGGAGTGGATGTCAAAACTGTCCGGCACCTGTTTGAGACGGAGCCCTTGGGCAGCAGCACTGTCAGTGAAGCTGACCGGAAAAAAACCATGCGGTACTCCAGTCGTGTGGAGTTCCAGTCTGGGGAAGTGTCCAGGGTGAAAGAGTTCTTTGAAGCCAAGCCCTTGGACACAGCCACCAAACCAAAATCCCAGAAGGATGCTGGGACAATTGAAGCTGGGTCTGTGCACAAGTTCACGTGGCTCTTTGAGAACTACCCCATGGACACCCTGAAGGACAACTCTGAGGGCATTCAGGAAATACCTCCTGAAAAGGATGTCAAGGGGGGAGATGTGGGAGGGAAAAGGTTTGTATTTGAGACCTATTCCCTTGATCAAATCCATGACAAAGTGGATGAGACAGAACTCCAGAAGATCCAGAAAGACACCATGAGCAAAGCTAATGTCAAGTCCTGCACAATGCTCTTTGAAAGCCAACCTTTATATGCTATCCAGGACAAAGAGGGGGGATACCATGAGGTCACCTCAGTGCAGAAAGAAGAAATCATGAAAGGTGACATGAAAGGTGCCCGGTGGTTGTTTGAAACTAAGCCTCTGGATCAGATCAAGAAGGAAGAAGAGGTGTTTGTGATTAGGGCTGTCACCCAAGAGGACATCAAGAAAGGAGATGTCCAGACTGCCCGCTGGAGGTTTGAGACAGAGCCTCTTGACTCCTTCTCAGGGGGAAAGTTGTCTGTGCCCAGAACAGTGGATGACGTGCAGAAGGGAGATGTTCAGTCCAACAAGCAGCTCTTTGAGTCCCAGCAAGTGGGCCAGAAGAAGTACGTGAGGATGGTGAGTGTCAGTGACGTGCAGAGGGGTGACGTGAGGACATCCACTTGGCTCTTTGAGAACCATCCTGTGGACTCCCTGTACGGGGACGCAGAGAGAAGCTCATCCATGAGCACAGTGCAGAGAGAGGACAGCCAGAAAGGGGATGTAAAACGCTGCACCTGGTTGTTTGAAACCCAGCCCATGGACACCCTTAAGGACACAGAGGTGACGGCCAGCGCTGGGGCCCAAGAAGAGATCCCTCGTGCAGATGTGAAAAGCACAACGTGGCTCTTCGAGAGCACACCCCTGGATAAATTTAGTGCTTCTGAAGGTAGCATAGAAATAGAACTGAAAGAAAGGACCATGAAGGAGACTTTAGAGACTCTCTGCACTTGCCAGGCTATCCAGCATGATGGGATCCTCATTGAAGCTAATGATATGGAGAGTGTGAAGATGGTGAAGTACCAGCTCAGCAGCCCAGGAGCTCCAGAGATCCTGAAA